TTATTATATTTATGACTTATCTATTTCATACATAGATAAACCAGCTTTAGTCTTAAGGATAAATACTAAGGTAATTTGTAAAATGTAATGTTATATTGCACTGTAACTGTTTTAGTCTTTAAGGATGTATTTCTACTCCTATGTAGAACTAGTTTAATGAAACAATTTAGGAAAAAATTAGTTACCTCAATTATTTTTCAGTAATCGTGGAAGTATACTTCTAGCTGTGAATTTTAAAGCCAATACATATTATAAACTTTTAAAATTAATCTTTTATTAGAAATAAAGTTAAGATTCATCTACTTAGAAATAAAGTTGATCTTTTAAATCAGTACAATTTAATGTTTTATTGCACTTTAGCAATTTCATTCTTTATGGGTGTATTTCTCCTCCTATATAGAACTAATTTAATGAAACGATTTAGGGAAAAAATATTTAACTCAATTATTTTTCAGTTAAGCTTGGAAGTATACTTTTTTCTAGCTGTGAATTTTAAAATCAATTAATATAAAACTTTTAATTTTTTTTCTCTAATTAAAGTTTAAAGAAATTCATATACTTAGAACTAAAGTTCATCTTTGATACTTAAATTTGAACTCATCTGTTTAGGCCACTAAAACAGCTGGGGCATTTTATGGCCATTCCTGTTATTTTGTTATTGCAAGAGAAATTACTGTTTTAACACATTTCTTTTCTAATGAGGCTTGCTTTGTAGCTGTGTTATCAATATAATGGCAGTGAAAATGGTTAGAAATAACCTAATACTTAACTGTGGGATAAATGTTATCATTGTATGATTAATAAAGACTTACTTCATTACCAAATGAGAACTTTGTTCACAAATTATTAGACTCTGAGCCTTCTCAAGGTTTATTGCTTTTTTAGTTAAGTTTATTATTAAGTTACATTTTATTCTTTTTTCCTCTTCCCATAAGCTGTAACAGTGTCATTGGTCTGATTAAATAACATTCTTTCATTTTTTTCTTTTTTTATAATTTCTTTCATTTCATACCCTGAGTTTTACACAATAATAGCATTCTCTTGATGTACTTTTGGTTGTGTGACCCTGGCAGAATGGAACGTTTGGGTCATTCAGAATAGTTTTGCCTTTTGAACAAGAGCTGAGAACTTTTATGCTAATACTGAGTCATTCAAACTGAAATTTACTTTCTTTCATTTGATTATACTGAGTACTCCTATTTGTACCTTTTCTTTAACCTCAAGTCTTTGTTTTTACAGTTGACTACAGTTTTGGTTTTGGGGTTTTAAAAAAAATTTAATTTATTAATTTTAATGAACATTTATAGAGATTTTGGATTTTTATTCATTCATAGTTGGCTACAGTTTTAAAGACAATATCTATTTGTAGGGAAATCTGTACAGAGATACTCACTTGACTGATTATTTGTTGTATAGTCAAGGCTAAAATACTTGGAAATATTTTGAACACTTATCAATTCAAAAGTCAAACTTAATAAGTAAATGATAAAGTTTTAATTTATAAATCAGGCACATTAAGAGATTATTGTTAATAATTCACAAACAGGAAGTGTTTAAAAATTAATACAATGTACAAAGAGATGATTCATGTCCCAATTGACAGACTGGATTGGTACTTCATCTTGCTGTGGTGTAGCCTGAGGTATGCAGATTACCTTGCTTGCAGAAAAAAAAATTTGAAGTAATGGCTGATTAAACCTTCAATGTAGATTACACCTTCACATAAAGAATACAAAAATCTTCCTATCTGAACCAATAGACGGCATTGGGATAAATGGAGAAAAAGAATTGAAATTGTCAGTGATTTACTTTCCTTGAATATATAGTCATTAACTAGAGAAGCAGCAGTCAAGAAATAAATCAATTTATTATGAGAGGAAGTCTGCAAAGGATCCCTTTAAAGTTCCAAAGAGCGAGGCTGTCACTATGAAGGCCAAGGTGCACTTGATAAAAGTCGTGACTAGTAGGATCTCTTTACCCATGTGGGGTTATTGGAGCTCAGACTCTGCCATGGCCAACCTATTGCACTATTTTTACTCTGTTCACAGTAGAGTTTTTAATACATTGGACTTACTGACCTCCATTATCTCCTTTTGTCTGTGAGTAAAACTTTATTTTACAGAGTATTATATTTTTTTTCTTTTTAATGTTTACATCTAAAAAATGTTCAAACTAAATTGCTGAGTATTGAATCATCTCCTCAAACTGAAATTATTACCTTAATGTTATATTTTGGTGTCAAAAAATGTTACTTCATATCTTTTCCTCTATTTCCTAATTTTTTAACAAGTTTTGATAAAATGAGGGTTATTTTTGTTTCCTCATTTATATTTGCCATCACTGTTATTCAAAGTTTTTCACAAGCCTTTATGACATTGCTTTCCTGTTAAATTTATCTGTGTAGCTCATTTGTGCTACCATATTTTAAAACAATATTGTTTTGCAAAAAAGTAAACTGTATTGCAAAAGTCATATTTTATTAGCTTAGTTTTTAACTATACATTGCAGATTGTTAATACATTTATTAACTCAGTCAAGTTGAAATTTCCATTTTTTTTCCCTTGGTGACTAGAGTTTCACTCTTTTTCTAGATTACTTTAGTCTTAGAAGAAACTGGTGGTTTAGTAACATAATAACTACCAACGAAGACACTGAAGAATCAAAACATGTAACTGAACTCCTTAAAAAAGATGTTTCAGAATCATCTAAGGCTATAATAAACTTATTGCCATGGATTCAGAATCAGTTTATAGCTGACACTTTAGGGAGTTTTTAGAAGTTGTAAATTGCATGGGAGGAGGGTGCCCATCTTCTCCCAAAGAGCAACTGGTAGGTTCAAATCACCAGAGAGGTCCACCTTTTAGAGAAAGAAGAAGTAGTGCACTTCTATAAAGATGTCTATCTTTGGAAACAGTATGTGCAGTTCTACTTTGCCCTCTAGAGTGATTCAGAATAAGAAATGGAGTGGGTTTGAAAACTACTTCTATCGTTATGATTATTTGTTACTTCAAGCTTTAACATGATGACTAATTCCAGTGTTTTTTCTATACATTAACACGGTTTTTAAGTTATTTTGTGAATTACTTTAATTATGTAAAATAAAATTAGAGTAAAAATTTCTTTGATAAGGTGATAATGTATACTGACATTTTTGAGTGGATACATTTTGTGGTGGTTGTGATATGCCATCCAGTCAGAACAAACTCATAGCTGATTGCAAAGCAGATTTTCAGAGGCTTTATGTCATATGAAAGGTTACCATCTTTCTCCCTAGAAGCAGCTGTTAGGTTTAAACTCATCTGCCTTTGTGTTGGCAGTGTAACTTCTTATCTACTTAGGCCACTAGAGCTCCCATGGATCTACTATTAGTATAGATATTTATTAGATAAGATATTTATAAGATCTATCTATAGATAGATATTAGTATAGTATAGATACCTAGTTGTTGGGTTTTTCTTTTAATATTTGACTTTATGTTGCTCCTTAAATTTGTTCATAACTTGGAAAATATTAGGATTATATAGTGTACTAAATACCATATAAAAAAGTAATAAATCATCTTTGGCACACAGAATACTTAATATACTCAGTTATACTTTAGATGGTTATTGTTTTCCCTAGTGTTCTTGTGTTTCATATTTTGCATTACTATAAAGTTTCCTTTGAATTTTTCAACCTAAATGGTGATTAAATAGCATTATTTAATGACTAGTTTTTCTCTTAAATAAATTCAAGACTTGACTTAATCCACTTGACATTTTGCCTTTTATTGATTTAATGCAGTGGTTCCACTCTAGAACTTGGTTTCTTGTGTCTTGATGAGGGTCGTGTAAGGAAAGGTTTGGGGTTGGTTTTGGTTTGTGTTTTGTTTGTGTTAGTGTTTTGTGTTGTGTTTTTTTTCTCCTCCACAAGCAGATGTCAGCTGGCTGGACTTCTTGGCTGATTTAGCCAACAAAGACCCAAGGTTGAAAGGTCTAGTTGGTTTATCATAGTCAACAGCATTTGTTGGGCATGTCTGTAAAATACGGTAGTAATGATGTGTTAAGTCTGTGGCTTGTCTGTGACTCCTGTGGTGTGGTTCCACTCTAGAAGTTGGTTTCCCGCATCTTGATGAGGGTGACATAAGGCGGCCCTCAGGTCAGATTTATTAATATTAGGATAAACTTTTTTTTTTTAAAGCGGTACAGCAGTCGTCTCTTTGCTGTACTGAATGACTTGGAGTTGCTGTGATGCTGAACACTGTGCCATAGTTGTGTCAAATACCATAACGATTACCCATCATGGACAGTGTTAGGAGGAGCGGAGCTTGCAGATTGACTCAGGTTTGGAAGCAGGCATGGTGTCCACTTCCTAAACCAAATACCCCTGAAAACTCTATAAACTCTTACCAGCATAAAGAAATGATGTTAGTTATAGAACAGAGTTCAAGTCTTCTGTTTGTAGGGTCGCTATGAGTCATATTCGACCTGACAGTACTTAACTGCTAAGTGAGACTAGTGTTGTTATATTTTGGAGGAACATGCTTCTGCTTTGTACATAACTCTTTGTTAATTTGCTGTATGGAGGTAACCTGGGTTTGCTGTGAAGTTGAATCTTGTGCCATTGGGGTGTCAAATGCCATAATGATTTCCCAGTGTGGATAGTGTTTGGTGCAGCTCCCAGTTGTAAAACAGATTTGGAAGCAGCAATGGCATCCACTTCATAAACCATATGCCTATGGAAACTCTGTGAACTTGAAGAAATGACAATAGTTGAAGGACATTGGGTCTTTTGTTATAGGAGGACATCGGGTCTTTTATTTGTGGAGATGCTTGAGTCATGCTTGACTTGAAGGCAGGCAACAATAACAATGCTTTTCATAGGAAAAGTATTTTACATAGTGATCTATTACAGTAGAAAATATTTTCCTATACAAACTACTTTTCCCAAGTGTTTGGTATGAAAAGTTTATTCTTTCCATAATAAAATTTATCACTTTAATTTTTCATTGTAGGATTTTCAGCCGTTTTTTGGCAAAAATGGCAACCAATGATGCTGTTCTGAAGCGACTGGAACAGAAGGGAGCAGAGGCAGACCAAATCATTGAGTATCTCAAGCAGCAAGTTGCCCTTCTTAAGGAGAAAGCAAGTAAGAAAATGTCAAACTTTCTGATATGACACTCTAATGGGTAGTCTGCTGCAGGTTGCCCTACTAATGCTAAGGCTGTATAATTTGACAGTTCAAATCCATCAGCGGCTCCAAGAAACATCGGTCATCTCTTCCCCTATGATTTACAGCCATAAGAATCCAGTGACGGGTCACTGTGAATCAGAGTCAGCTTGATGGCATTGAGTTTGAGTCTCAAGTTTTACATGAGATATTTAAATTGTGTCTGTATATTGAGAAAGGGAGATCTGGTGGCCTAGAGGCAAGAAGCTGCTCTGCAATCCCAAAGGCACACGATTTGAGTCCATGAGCTTCTCTGTGGGCAAAAGATGGGCAGTATTCTACCATGCGGTTAACTGCCTCTTAAAACCCACTGGAGGGTCAGCTGTGGATTGCTTTCAACTCGTTAGTACACAACAACAACATATATTGAGAAAACAAAAATATGTTAGTAACAACCTGATGGACAGATCAGAAGCCACGCTCCAATCTCTAGGCACATTGTTCAAATCCACCAGCTGCTCTGTTGGATGGTGGACAATCTCTTCCTGTGCGAAACCTGCTCAGCAACAGTAGCATTATGTTGAGAAAGCAAAACTAGATCTATTACAACGTAAGTTATAACTAAATTGTCTCAGTGATTGAAAATTATTGTATCCTCTTTTGAAATATTTTATCACTAACATTGAGAAAGATGTATGTGTCTAATTAAAAGTAGCATTTGTTAAAGAATTTTTTAAGACTGCTCCTGTTAAGATCACTTGATAAGCATATAAGATCTTTAGGTATTTTTTCCTAAAGACCTTTGTGATTTTGAGTAAGTTTTCTTTTTAAAAAAAAACAAACCAAACAAACATGATTTTTCCTTAGTAAGATGACAAAATAGTGGGTACATCATGTATAATAAATTCATTCCTGTATGGGTAGCCACTTCCTACCATTTTTACCAATATTTATATTTAGGAAATTAAACAATAAACTTTTTTGTGCTCCCTTTTATTTATTTTTCACCTGTATAACACAGGTGAATATGCCTCAATATTCTATCCTGGTGGTTTTCAGCCCAATTGCTACTATTTTAAATAAATGTTTCATAAAGTTCCTTTAACACTTTATAAAGAAAGTATGTATTAGATAAAATCTGTGTATGCACATAATTTCTTAACAATTAATATGTAATATTAGTCCTATATGTAACATAAAGGAAAGCAAAAAATTCTTATGTTAAAAAAATAATACAGTTGGTCATTTAGCCACATCTTTAGGTTACAAAGGTTAGGTTCAGTATGCAAAAACTGGCATTATTCAAAACATCAACAACTAATACTCATATTCCAAGAGTCATTTTTTGAGACAATCAAGTAGAATTATTCATTTCCTACAGCCACTATCCTCATTTAGCATCTTCATGCTGTGACTTCATATATAGGGTGGGCAGATAGGCTCCTGTATGCCAAACCAGACAGAACTGATTTTTAAGATTTGCACATGGTAGGGTACCTACTCCTTGGAAACACCCACCTACCCAGACTGCCACCTACTGGTCTTAGCTGTCCCATGCAAACTAAAGGGGAATCTGTCTAGCAGATTGCGTGGAAAGTCACCACTCAGCGTCAGAGGGCAAGACAGCCACCAACCTACAGGCCTGCCGAGAAATCAGGGAGACTGGAGTGCATGTATCGGGTAGTTCTCAAAGTCTTTCCCTCTCTCCTTTTTAATTTTATTCAATAAAAGAGAGGAATGGAGTGGGGAAGGGTAATAAATAGTTTCTAACTAAAATAACATCATTAATAAAAACATGAGTTTCAATACTTAGAACCATAGTGCCAGACCTAAAGAGAGTGTTATATGATACTTAATTCTTACCCTTAGAATCACCAAGAAAGCAACAAGTATAACACCAGGCAAACAAAAGGGGAATCTGTCTAGCAGATTGCAAGCAAGATTCTACTGAAGATTATCCAAAAACGATTAGAACAGCACATCAGCAGAGAACTTC